AAAGATTGAAGCGGTATATGCAAAAAATCAAATAATCACTCCATATCAAAGCGGTTTCAAGAGCGCTCAACATCGAATTGTCTCGTATCCCTAGAGAATACTGACTATAATGATTTTGCTATTAATATGAAAATCATGCTTCTAAGCTTAGTCACACAGAAAGCCTATTGGATGATATGGTGACGACTGGTTGTCAAAATAATGACCAAGGTCGGAACCATGGAAAATATTTCCAAAGCCATTTACAGTTTTTTTAAAGAACGTTCAATCAGAGAAAGTAAATGTAATTTTGGCAGACAGTCACCACATTATGAACCGCGTGCCTCAGGGATCAGTAGTTAGTGCTACCCTCTTTCTACTGATCATCAATGACCTCCAAAAGAATATTATAGCGCCAGCTGTCATCAATATGAACCTTGAACGGCAAAGAACGATTAACGCACAAATGGCGATAACCTTCGTCTTTAAGATAATCACAAAATTTTCAGCAATCCGAAATCACAATCGATTTCGGACATAAGTCTTAATGATGTCCAGAAATACGTCTTTGCCGCGATTTACAATGTGCGAAACGAAAAGGTACCACGAAAAAGGACCGAAGGATTTCTTTCCACACCACTGAACACTAGTTCATCATCTACTCGTTTTCGCCTATTATACTTCTTTTTGCCAAACTTGCTCTCATCATTCCCAACAACATCTTCTCCACCCAGTGGTTCACTCTCAGCGACAACTAAATCCATACAATTTCCAGAAGAAAACTCATCCAATAGGTCAAGGTACGCCCACTTATGCCGGCATCCAAACTGATATGATTCACTTTTGCTTCCATCACCTATATGTAGGTGATAAGAAGTACTTGCCAAAACTCCAAGTGGTTTTTCAGATGGGCGTAAACATGATTTTCGGATCTCTTACCTACTAATAACCCCAAAATTTGCCTTCGTATTGTTCCCGGGAAAAGCAATACATTTATTATAAATACCTCTACTTCTAAGGGTATCGCATATGTAATATGCAATCATTTCAAATTTTGTATGTGGAGTACTTTTTAATTCTATTACCTTTGTTTGAATTCCTCCAGACGCAGATTTAACGTCGTAGTAGTAGAATTGGAAATAGTTTTACAGAATCATGGTTACTGTCGGCTGTTCAGTCACGAAAACATGAAATACACTCGAAAACGTGAATAGGCACATTTAATAGTCACGATGACATTGCAGAATTTACTTCTATTTTAGTGCGAGCACATGACTTGTTTAGCTATATTTGAGTCTTTAAATAACATTTTCTGCAGTTTTCCTGAACAGTCCAATTATTTTAAACTTTGATGAAGCGTGACCTCGTGGAAAGATAAGGTGCCTTTAGCTGCATTGGCCAGATCACTAAGTTTAGAATCCTTTTTGCCAAGAAATCGTTAGCTTTGGACGAAGATACTGCAGTACAACCCCAGATATTGTGTTTACCACTGTTTTGAAAAATTGAAAAATAATAATTTTGCGTACTATAAGTTATTCAGTATAACAAAAGCTGAACTATTATAGGTGAATTTTCAACGTAATTATATGTTATTTACGTACAAATGACAAATGACCTCAAGATAATAAATGACCTCAAGATAATAAAGCTTACATTTATTAGTGACTGAAACTAATATACCAGCCTCGGAGTTGATTTTTCCTGACCTGAAGTCACGAAATCGTGTTTTGCAATCACTTTTGTTACTAAAGACGCATTTAGGTTTTGGCATGATTTTGATTAAACCTCAACACTGCTTTATTTCTCAACAAGCAACTGAGAGTAGAGCAGTTGAGATTTCTAGAAGCCGAGCTAAGACATGTTGCTGTTGCATACGTTTTAACTAGCTGCTTCGCAGCGCGTATTTCACTATAATTACCACACCAGTTATTTCAATTAAATAACGAGTTGAGGCATTGATCTCAGGGGGTGGCGTGGATTAGCGAGTTTCTGCGAGACAAAAAACAGAAAGAGCGAATCGGAATCTTCCGAGGCAAGCGTTACGTCAGGAATACTGCAGGGGAGTGACATTGAACCTCTTCTATTTCTAGCGATCGTCAATGGCAGCGCACTTAATCTCAAATGTTCTGCTATTTGCATTCGATTGCATAATATATCGTAGTATGAATTCGAAAGATGAAGAAATGCTGCAACGGGGTGATGCGTTATTTACTGGGCGGAAAATAATGGAATAAATTGCCTCCAAAAACCTTTGCATTCTTTCCTCGAAGCGCTCAACAGTTTAGGAAATTAATTTAGAGTATTATTAAGTAAATGGTGGACTGAATTAATAATAGTATGTTATATAGTGATGCATAAAATTTTATATTGTGAAGTGAGGTGTCGCGCAGTGTCGAGCAGAGAAATAATGAAGATATTTAAGGGTGATAATGAAATGAAGTGAAGTGTAGTGCAGTTTGTTAGTGTTAATTGTACAAACATTCCGTGTGAAGTTAGATTATTTAAGTATATTTTTCATAATGTAACATAATGATTTATGAATCAGTCAGTTTTTATATTATTATTATTATTATTATTATTATTATTATTATTATTATTATTTAACCTCTATTTTTATTACTGTATCATTATTATTATATAATTTTTTGTTAGTTATATGGCCTTATTTATGTAATTAGCTGCCACCGAGTTATACCCAATTGCAGTTTACATCAATTTATCTTAATTGTTCTGAATTGTAACTTGAAAGCAGCTCGGAGGTGACCTAAAAAAGAGAAAAGTCTCGAAAAAATACCACTTTGTTGGGAGAAAGTTTAAATTCTTTTGAGTTTGTGATTGAGAGAGATCAGAGAGACGTGTTTTCTTACTTTCAAGTTGAAGCAGTTGCATAACTAAAAAATAGGACACTTCCGCATTTTCCTAAAAGCCCACCCGGACCATTTTTAGAGACCCAAAAAAAGGACAGGTCGGGTAAAAGAGAACATCTGGAAACCCTACTATGTATACGTTCAACGATAACGAGTGACATGAAGACATTCAATAACGACATCGTTATTATATGTTCGTCGTATGCCTGTATTCTGATTGGTAGTTGTGGGGTTGTAATCGCACGCGGGGAATTAATATAGTGACAATTAACAATTTTTGGTGGAATTAACGAGAATATTTAATTTACTAAACGAAAAGACGAATAATTTCGTTTTCTTCGTATGATTTATTCCTTTACTAGTAAAAAAAATCACATGTATAAAAAAAAGTCAATGAAATATGGAATCCGAAATATTGTTCTCCCCCTCTTCCCCCAAAGATTTTATCGCTGATATTGACAACTATTGTATTCTAATCGACGCTTTCGACGTCTCCGTACTAATATTCCCAACGCAAGCGCAATTGGAGGTTTCATATTTCAATTAAAAAAGCCTTGCAAGCACATTATGAAGTTTTGCAGCGGAATAATTGCAGAGAGAGAGAGAGAGAGAGAGAGAGAGA